TTTTTTTTTTGATAAACCAAGTTGGTTTAAGAGATATTACACACTCTTATCCTTACTTGGGGTTGGAGTCTAGCATTCAAATAAGATATTACACACTCATTTAAATAACTAGAACCTAAAACTCACACTCAAGAGAACCACTCTTAAGATATAGATTTAGGAATTTAAATAGCAAACACAATAAGTGTATTACTAAAGAAAAGGAGAATACATTGAATGGATTTGCAAGGCCCAAGGCCGAAATATAAATACACACGCAAGGGAAGCTACCAAGCATCTCCTTCACACAAATCTAAAGGAATAACAACCATTTATTAATGTCCTTTTGGTAGGGAAAAATCAGAGATGGGGATGGGTTTGTGGGGCTGGAGTTTCAGTTTTTAGTGACTGGCCAGGCATGTGTGAGTGAAAGCCATACCTTGATTGGTTTTTTTGGTGAGGTCTTTTCAGCCAAGTGGGGAAAAAAAGAGAGGAATGGCCTGGCTGTCCTTTTGGATGTATATCCTGGGTGTTATGCAGGGAACAAGAGAGGGTGGATTGGGTTGGTGGTGGGTCAGGGCTGTGCAGATTTGCTGGGGAACATAAGGGGGGACAATGGCAGGTCTATTATGTGAAATAAGAGGGGTTTTTGGCTGGTATTTTCAGCCCTCATATGGGGGGAATGAAGTGAATTAACTGGTTGTGGTTTGGCAAGGAATTTTGGCCAGGAGTGTATTAATTCAATGAAGGGACAATGTGGGGTTCATAGGGTGTGGTAGTGTTGTCCAAAGAAAGAAAGAGGCTGGGTTGTTTGGATTTTTGGGGTTTGATTTTTTGTGCAGGGGGGTTTTCAGCCTCTATGGGGTGGAGAAGTCCAAAAAGATTATGGCTAGGTTTTGAGGTTTGTTGATGAATTCATTCCAAAAAAGATCATAATACCTAGTCATTATTCCATTGATTTGTTTAAGGACTTTGGGATCATTGGTAGTACCCGGGGATATATCATCCTCCCCTTCTTCAGAAGAGTTTGTCCTCAAACTCGGAATTTCTTCAGGATCAAAGTACGGACTGATATCTTTCACGTTGAAGGTGGCGGAAACTCTGTAGTCTCCTGGAAGGTTGATCTTGTAAGCATTCTCGTTGATCTTCTCTAGAATCTCAAACGGACCATCAGCTCTTGGTAGTAGTTTGGACTTGCGTTTTGTCGGAAAACGCTCTTTCCTGAGATGTATCCAAACCAAATCTCCGGGTTTGAAGTTTGTGCTCTTTCTCCTCTTGTTGATCCGCGCACTTACTTGCTCGTTCATGGCTTCAATCTTTTCTCGAACCTTGTTGTGAAGGTCCTGTATCTCCTTTGATCTCTTGTCAGCTTCCCAACTGTACCTGGTATTTGTCATGATAGGATCAAGCTCAAGTGGGGTTAAAGGGTTCGAGCCATAGACAACTGTAAAGGGGGATAACCCGGTAGTCTTGTTTGGGGTTCTGTTGTAGGCAGATTCAGCGTGTGGTAGTAACTCCTCCCATTGTTTGATGTTCCTTTTGATAAGGGCTCGGAGGAGAGTTCCAAGGGTTCGGTTGGTGACCTCGGTCTGTCCATCGGTTTGTGGGTGGCTTGATGTACTAAACTTCAATTTAGTACCCAACTTTCTCCACAAAGTCATCCAAAAGTGGCTTAGGAATTTCGTATCCCTATCCGAGACCATGCTTCGGGGAACGCCATGGAGTTTGACTATCTCTCGGAAGTAGAGATCAGCTACTTGCAACGCGTCGTAGGTGGTGACACAAGGTACGAAGTGCGCCATCTTTGAGAATCTGTCCACTACGACCATGATAGAATCCTTGCCCCGTTGTGTCTTAGGCATCCCGGTGATGAAGTCCAAGCTAATGTCTTCCCAAGGGGCAAGAGGGACGGGCAGTGGGAGATGCTTTCCTTGCGGCAAGGAATGTCCTTTGGCTAGATGACAAGTGTGGCAGCGTTTGACGAAGTGTTCCACATCTCGTTCCATCTTGGGCCAAAAATAGTGTTCCTTCATCATCACGTAGGTTTTGTTGACACCATAATGACCTGCTAGGCCGCCACCATGGATCTCGTCAATGAGGGTCTCACGAACACTACACTTCGGGACGCACAATTGGTTACCATGGAATAAGTAACCATCTTTTATGAGGAAGTCACCATAGGGTCGAGAAAGACACTTAGAATATGTGTCCTTGAAGTCTTCATCCTCCTTGTAAAGCTCCTGCAAAAATTCAAAACCAACAAGTTTGGTACTAAGTACGGTTAGTAGCAAATGTCTCCGGGACAAGGCATCGGCGCCCTTGTTCATGGTTCCGTTTTTGTGCTTGATGGTGAAGGTGAAGGTTTGGATGTATTCGACCCATTTTGCATGGCGGGGTCGAAGCTTATGCTGCCCCTGGATGTATTTTAAGGCTTCATGATCGGAATGAAGAATGAACTCCTTGCTTATGAGATAATGACGCCAATGCTCAAGAGATCGTACCAAAGCGTAGAACTCTTTGTCATAGGTAGAATACCGTCTTCTTGTATCATTTAGCTTTTCGCTAAAGTATGACACCGGATGTCCTTCTTGGGATAGGACAGCCCCTATGCCAACTCCCGAGGCATCACATTCAACCTCGAATAGTTTCTCAAAACTCGGAAGGGCTAACACGGGAGCATGCGTTAAGCGTTCCTTGATTGCTTCGAAGGCTTGTTGGGCTTTAGGATTCCATTCGAACTTCTGATTTTTCGTCAAATCCGTGAGGGGGGCAGTTATGGTACTGAAATCCTTCACAAATCGCCGGTAGAAAGATGCAAGTCCATGAAAACTTCTAACTTGCTGCATTGACCTGGGAACGGGCCAGTCCCTTATGGCCTGAGTCTTCTTTTCATCGACTTTGATTCCTTCACTCGAGATAAAGTATCCCAAGAACTCCGTTTCCTGAGAAAAGAATTGGCTCTTCTCAAGATTCCCGTACAGCTTCTCTTCGTCTAACTTCTTAATCACCAAAGTAAGATGATTAACATGATCTTCTTCGCTCCGGCTATAGATTAGAATGTCGTCAAAGTAGACCACAACAAAATGACCTATGAATGGCTTTAAAACTTGATTCATAAGTCTCATGAATGTGCTTGGGGCATTGGTTAACCCAAATGGCATGACCAGCCACTCGTAAAGCCCAAATTTGGTTTTGAATGTCGTCTTCCATTCATCTCCTTCATAGATTCGAATCTGGTGGTAGCCACTTCTAAGATCGACCTTAGAAAAGATCTTAGAACCATGGAGCTCATCTAGCATGTCCTCAAGCCTAGGTATGGGATACCTATACTTGATAGTAATCTTGTTTATCGAACGGCTATCACAACACATACGCCAAGTGCCATTTTTCTTTGGCACTAAAAGAGCTGGAACAGCACATGGACTCAAGCTTTCCCTTACAAATCCTTTGGCTAGTAATTCATCTACTTGCCTTTGGATTTCTTTAGTTTCCTCTGGATTCATGCGATAAGCTGGTTTGTTAGGTAAGGCAGCCCCCGGGATGAGTTCAATCTTGTGTTGGATGTCCCTTTTAGGAGGAAGGCCGTGAGGAACATCTTCGGGGAAGACATGAGAGAAGGATGGGGGGTTCTTCTTTTGAAGGTGAGGGCAGGGGTTCGGTTTCAGCTTCTTCAAAAAGGATAAGTTCCTTTTGGGCTTTAAATTCATGATGCTCAGCTTGTTATATGGTGGAGAGAAGGATGGGGGGTTCTTCTTTTGGAGAGGAGGGGGCCGTGGGTGAGGAAGGTTGGAGAGGGGTGAGGGTGATCTTCTTTTTGTTGATAAGGAACGAATATGTGTTAGCATATCCGTCATGGAACACCTTTCGATCAAATAACCAAGGACGGCCCAAGAGGATATGGCAAGCGTCCATTGGAATGATGTCACACCAGATTTCATCGGAATAAGTTTTTCCGATACTTAAGGAAACCAAACTCCGAGAATCCACACGTAACCCCTTCCCATGATTCAACCATTGAATCGTGTATGGTTTTGGGTGTGGTGAGGTCTTGAGTTTCAACTTTTCTACCATCGTTTTGGATGCCACGTTGGTGCAACTTCCGCTGTCCACAATCAAAGAACACACCTTCTTTTGAATTGTACAACGGGTGTGGAAGATGTTTTCCCGTTGTAGCTGATCATCGGGACCAGCCATGCTACTCAAGGTCCTACGGATGACCAAGAGTTCTCCTTCGTCTGCTCCGATACATTCTTCTTCTTCAAGCTCTTCTTCAGCCCACGAGGGACTGATTTCTTCTTCTTCATACTCAACAATGGCCATTATTTTCTTATTAGGACATTCATTGGCATAATGACCTATCCCTTGACAACGGAAACACTTGGGAGCTCGGGTAGTGGTTTGGCTTGCTTTGAAGGGGGGCGGATTTGAGGAAGATGGGATGGAATTAGGTTTTGAGGTAGGGCTTTGGGCAGTAGGTGATGGGGCTGTTTTTGGGGTGGTAAAGAGTGATTTGGAGAAAGGGGATGGGCGAACCAAGGGGGCTTTGTTCCTCTTAAGTTGAGACTCAACTTTAAGAGCCAATTTGGAGAGTTCTTCAAAGGTGTCATAGGGTTGCAACTCCACTATATTAGCTATTTGGGTGTTAAGTCCTAATAGATATCGGACTAACGTTTGAGAATCATTTTCTTGAAGATCACATCTCATCAAGAGCTCTTCAAACTCCCGAGTATAGTCCTCAACAGACCGGGTACCTTGCCTTAAGTGTTGAAGCTTAGCAAAGTTGTCTCGTACGTATTGCTCGGGCAAGAACTTCTTCTTCAACAAGCTCCACATTTTGAACCAAGTTTTCACCGGAGCCTTGTTTTCACGCCTTCTTTTGGTGGAAAGATTGGACCACCAAGTGGACGCATACTTTCGGAACTTCAACGCCACGATCTTGACTTTCTTATCTTCGGGCACATCTTTGAAATCAAAGACACGCTCAACTGCTTCCAGCCACTCTAGAAAGTCGTCTGGATCATTCTTTCCTTCAAAGGTTGGTATGTCAACCTTAAAATCAGTAGCTCCCTTTTCTTGTGCAGTTCCTCTAGTAGTGTGACTAAAATCAGCTTCTAGTTGAGCTTCTTCTTTTTCTTCATCACTTTCTTCCGGAGTGTTCACCAAGTTCATTTTTAACTTAGTGAGTTGAGCAACCTGTTTTGCCAAGTACTCTACTTGGGCTTTGAGCTGAGTATTAGAAACCCAGAGCTCTTCATTGGTGATGCTTGGTGAAGTGTTTGACATATTAAAGAGAGTGAAAGGAGAGAGTTATGGCAGCAGTTTAGGCCGAGAAATGAAAGAAGAAAGGAAAAGAGTTGGAAGTGTGTTGTATGGCCTCGAGAGATGTTCAACAACAAGCTTTGATACCAAATGTTAGGCTTCAACTCAAGGTGGAAGGAGGGGGAATCAAGGCTGAATGGATTCAGGGAGACAGTAGGTGTCTTGGGTTGGTTTTGGAAGAAGATTTAAGTAAAGAGATGGAAGTATTTAGAGGAGGGAATGGAGGGGCTGAGTTGAAGAAAGAAAAAGGGCAGGAGTTTCTTTTGGTGTTTTTTTTTTTGATAAACCAAGTTGGTTTAAGAGATATTACACACTCTTATCCTTACTTGGGGTTGGATTCTAGCATTCAAATAAGATATTACACACTCATTTAAATAACTAGAACCTAAAACTCACACTCAAGAGAACCACTCTTAAGATATAGATTTAGGAATTTAAATAGCAAACACAATAAGTGTATTACTAAAGAAAAGGAGAATACATTGAATGCATTTGCAAGGCCCAAGGCCAAAATATAAATACACACACAAGGGAAGCTACCAAGCATCTCCTTCACACAAATCTAAAGGAATAACAACCATTTATTAATGTCCTTTTGGTAGGGAAAAATCAGAGATGGGGATGGGTTTGTGGGGGCTGGAGTTTCAGTTTTTAGTGACTGGCCAGGCATGTGTGAGTGAAAGGCATACCTTGATTGGTTTTTTGGTGAGGTCTTTTCAGCCAAGTGGGGAAAAAAGAGAGGAATGGCCTGGCTGTCCTTTTGGATGTATATCCTGGGTGTTATGCAGGGAACAAGAGAGGGTGGATTGGGTTGGTGGTGGGTCAGGGCTGTGCAGATTTGCTGGGGAACATAAGGGGGGAAATGGCAGGTCTATTATGTGAAATAAGAGGGGTTTTTGGCTGGTATTTTCAGCCCTCATATGGGNGGAATGAAGTGAATTAACTGGTTGTGGTTTGGCAAGGAATTTTGGCCAGGAGTGTATTAATTCAATGAAGGGACAATGTGGGGTTCATAGGGTGTGGTAGTGTTGTCCAAAGAAAGTAAGAGGCTGGGTTGTTTGGATTTTTGGGGTTTGATTTTTGTGCAGGGGGTTTTCAGCCTTTATGGGGTGGAGAAGTCCAAAAAGATTATGGCTAGGTTTTGAGGTTTGTTGATGAATTCATTCCAAAAAGGATCATAATACCTAGTCATTATTCCATTGATTTGTTTAAGGACTTTGGGATCATTGGTAGTACCCGGGGATATATCATTTTAGACATAGCCTTCGTCAAGAAGTAACAGTCTCATAATCAGAATATCGGAGTCCTCATCTATGTTACTGAAGCGCTATCGTCTATGGACTGAAGCTATGTTATGTTACACGAGATATAAAACATACTTCAAAGCCTTTCATTCATGATAAAGTGTACAGTTACATAGGTATTTGATTGCCGCTAGGGCACCTAAATACAACACATTTGCCTCAAGTTCCTCCAGTTTAAGAAATATATTCCCAAAGACCTCTTTATTCCATTTACTCAAAGCCAACTTAGTAGCTTTAAGTTTGGCATAGAGTTGAAACATGGGTGGGCCTGTCACATTAACTCCCCAAGCTTTCTGTACAATTTGATGGAAATCATCATGTGTTGTCCAGGCATTAAGGAAGGAGAAATGTTTAGGAGCATTAGAAGTGGTGTGTATAGTGACAGAGATATGAAGAGGGGCATGGTCAGAAGTAGTCAAAGAAAGTGCTTGAACTTTAGTTTTAAAAGTATCTGCCCAAGCTTGATTCACAAGCAACCTGTACAGCTTTTTCCAAATGGATTGGGTCTTCTTTCTACCATTCCACCAGGTGAAAGTATTTCCATAAGTAGCCACCTCCAGGAGACCACAATCCATGATGCATTGTTGAAAATCCCAACTAGCAGAAAGAGACATGGGTAATCCACCAAGCTTTTCTTCAGGACGTAAACTACAATTAAAATCTCCAACCACAGCCCAGGGAGTAGCATTGTCATGAGACTGAGCAAACTGAACTAATGAATTCCAGAGGTCCTTCCTAAGCCAACTCTTTGTTTTTGCATAGACAAATGCAATAACACTATTTCTGCAGCTAGAAAGCTGAGTAGCTTTCACAAAGACTACTTGGTCTTCATTAGTTAACAGATCAATGGAGTAGGTATCCTTCCAGAATATCCAGATTTTGCCTTGACATCCAACAAGGTGATGTATAAAACCAATCTTTTTTCCAGTGGAAGCACAGAATTCTGCATCTCTAAAAGGCTCAATAATGCAGACTATATGAGGATGAAGCTTTTCACTACAAGAATAAGCTAGATCTGCAACGACAATTTGCTACAGACATTAGTCTGTCGCAGATCTGCTATGACTCTGCGATGGAAATCTCAAATTTGAAAACCCACTTAATATTTGCTACGGAGCACAAGTATCCATAGCAAATCTGCTACGCATTGATAAATTAATTCCCTAGCAAAAGTTTACTTAACAAAAACCTTATCCTCTTTTCGGATTATAGCCTACCACAAACAACCCTAGTTTTTTTCGTTCCAGCCGCTTACGCCGATTGCCGCCTCGCCTCCTCGCTGCTCGTCCCTAGGCGCCGTCCATCACCTGACCTTTCGCCTCCGCCTCCTGAAACAACTCGATCGTCGCTGCATATTCTACATCTTGAAGCTACCAGTCGCTGCACTACCCTTCCATTCGCTGCCTCGCTTCGCACCGCCATCCTTCACCTCGCGCTGCCATCCACCTCCTCACTGCGCCATGCCTCCCCACATTTTCCGAGCGACAGTCTCAACATCCTCCCAAATAAGGTTTTTCTTTAATTTTATGCCATTTAAATTTATTGTCAATTTTGATGAAGTTCAATCTTTTTTTTTTGAAATTGAGAATATTTTAGGTAAAATTGAGTTGAAATTTACATGAAATTGGTAAGTTGTTGAAGGTTAGTTTGGTTATACATAATTGTGCATTATATGAATGATTTATTTTGATTTTTTGATTGCCCTGTTAAGTTCATCCTCTATAGAAAACATCTTCTTTCAATAGGGAGTTGATGTTATACTTGTCCCGGGAAGTTTAGTGATAGGCGTCAGCAGAGGAGGAGCTTGGCTACTCATTTGTACAATTGGAACAAATCCAAATCTCCTTACAAAACCCTGGGTACTGTGCTTTGCAACTTTTCTCAATCTAAAATGTTAGGTTTCCATGTTATTCTCTGGCTTGCTTTCAAATTTTTAGTTTTTTCTAAAAAATCATATATAAAATCAAATTCAGAGAAACATAAAGAAATTAGTAGCAATCATGTAGCTTGGAAATAAAAGGCACAGTTGGTTCGGAATTGCTAATACCTTTATCAATTTATGATTTTAACAAAATATTTGCCAATACGAATTAATGTCTTGGGTTTTGTTTTTTGTGGTTTTGAGCATTAAGTATTCATTCATGTCCATTTTGAGCATTTTTGTGTTTTTTGTGGTTTTGAGCATTAAGTATTCATTAATGTCTTGGGTTTTGTTTTTTGTGGTTTTGTTTTGGGACTAAAGAGTTATAGATTCAATCATGGTCAAGATTGGTTGGTGTTCAACCATTGAATTACGAAGATGAGATCAACAAATGCATAAGAGTGGAGATGAGATCAACAATGCATAAGAGTACAAGTGGTGCTGTAGAAATTGTGGGCTTGAAAGATAGGAACAAAAGATTAAAATAGCGGTAGCGGATTGATAACTTGAATAAAGTATGTCAATTAGTAAAAAATAAGTGAGTAAGAAATTGTATCATATATATCAAGTATATCTTTATGATATTTAATTTTTTTTGTAATGACTCGTTAAGATATAATAAAAATATTTATAATTATGCTTGTGTAATGATGTTATGACACTTAAATGTGTCTAGTGATCTTTCAATTTGAATCATTGATTCGTGTTGTTCTTGGGCTAAAAAATAAGTAAAATTTGTAGAAGCTGGTTCATATTGCTGCAAATCTGCGATGGAATCTGCAACAGACTAAAGTCATCCGTCGCAGAATTGAATAAAATGCTGCAGAAAGAAGCCCGTTGCAAATGTTGTCGCAGATCTGCAACGGATGTTTTTTTCCATCGCAGATTTTGGCCTAGCGACAAGTTTTTTGCGACGGACAAAGTTTGTCGCAGGTCCGTTGCAGATTATAAATCTGCTACGGAATTTACAAATCTGCGACGGAATTTGTGCATTGCAGATTTGACAAATTCTTGTAGTGTTTGAACCAGATGGTGTAATCTATTGTGTGATCCTCTGGAGGAGATCCCTCTTACATTCCACACAAGTGTGGAATCCATTAATGAGCTGTTTTGGGAGGGGGGGAAGTTCTGGTCTTTCCAGATTTCTTCCCAGTAGGTGGCTTAGGGGGTTTAGTTTTGGAGGCTCCTTTCCTTGTATTGGCAGCTGGAGTATCAGTTGGAATTTCAGTTATGTTGTTCTTAGATTTATCTTCAGACATGGGTGAAGAAAAGAAATCCTCATCTCCAATAGGGCTAGCATATCCCTCATCAGACCATACTTCTTCAATATCATCCTCACCTGATTTGGGGCCAGGATCCAGTTCTGCAAGAGGAACACCTTTATTTGAGGGGATAGTATTTGCTGAAGAATTCATGCCACAAGTCTGATCAGGGTCAGCAATAGGCAGAATTGGAAAAGCCTTGCCACTATCATCAAGTGTTTTAGATTTGGATTCCTCCCTACCCCCTGGAATGGTAGAGGGATGAAACTCTGAGGCCTTAGGGTTCAGTCCTGTGTGTTCCATATTTAATTGCTGCAGAACTTCAAAAGTGTTGAACACATCCAGAGGTTGGGAGTTAGCAGGGTGTTTGTGCCCCTCATGAGTAGGTGGTTTAGGAATGAGGCCAATAGTTGGTGTCAAGGCAAATTGTTTCAAGGCAACTGGTTCTGGCTCTTTGGCATTGTGATTTTCTATAGCAGGAGAGGTTTTGTTAGAATGAGATGTTGTTTGCTTAGGGAACTGCTTTTTGTGTACCACCTGGAAGTCATTCTTTTTTGGGTCAATTTTGTTCTTTTCAGTGTTTTGACCTTTGGATTTTTGACCTTCATATAACTGTGAAGGTTGAGTATTAAGACCCAAGGTTTTAGGAACATAAACCATCTGCTGGTGTTGAGTAGAGGGTGGGGCTCTGCTCCTACTTCTCCCACGCCTAGTAGGTTTAAGTTGATTTGGTGGCTCCTCTGTCAGTATATGTTTCCCCTTCCTCATTTTTTCTGCAGCATAATGATTATCCTCTTCCAATTTACACTTTTCAGCAGGGTGTCCTTGCTTGAAGCACCTAGAGCAGTAATATGGAATCCTGAAATCATATTCGATAATTGAGAATAATGCTCAGTTCAGTCCCCCTGACTAACGGCCAATAAAATGGCATTAAAAAGACGTTAAACTTTATACTATTTTCCCAAAATGGTATTTTCTAACGGATTATTTTCTCAATTTGGTCCATTTTCGAAATAAAAAATAATTATGAAAAAATATTTTAAATTTTATAGGATGATAATATAATTCTAAGAACTATAAATATAATTTCATATATTAGAAAGTAACGTTTTAGATTACTTACAAATTATGTAAAGGAATATCATGTAAACAAAATATTTAAAAAACGTTGAACAAATCACCCTAAATAGGAGTAAAACATAGAGAAAAAGTTCCTATTTTGGTACTTCATTTATGTTTTACTCCTATTTAGGGTAATTTCATTAACGATTATTAAACATTTTATTTACATGTTATTCTTCTAAATAATTATAAATAATTGAATATATTTTAAATTTTATAAAATTATATTTATAGTTTTAAATATTACTCCGTATATTGTCATCCTATAAAATTTAAAATATTTTTTCATAATTAATGTATTTTTATTTCAAAAATGGATCAATTTGAGAAAACACTCAGTTAAGAAGTACCATTTTGAGAAAGTAGTATAATGTTTTACATCGTTTTAATGCCGTCTTAACGGCCATTAGTTAGGGGACTCAACTGAGCATTATTATCAATTAACGAGTACCATCTTGGAAATTACTTAATTTTGAGGACTAATTTGGGAAAACACATAGTTATTGAGTACCATTTTGGGAATTTACTCATTATGTAATTTAACTTTATAGAATTTTTAAGTAAATTACGTATTTAACCCAATTCTTAATTTTTTGGGGAGAAAAAATGCGTACACCTCATGGCCTACGACTCAAAAAGCTTTCGACATTGCCCGCCATATTTGCACAATATCTCCAAAATCCTTGTTGCGTAATTGCTAGATCGCCATATGGCATAATTTTTTGGAAACTGCCATAAGGCAAGCCATATGAAGGGTTACGGCAATGCTATTCCGAACATTGATAAGGAGAGAAACCCTTACTAAAATATGAGACTGGATTCAAGGATTGTAGAAGGATGGCTCCGACTCGTGCTGAAGATGTGTGGTTTTCCACTGAAGCATTGATTAAAATCGGGCAATTTCAAAATTGGTTATGAAGTCAAGGCAGCGTTCAACTGCTGAAATGCTGATTCAGCTTGTTGCATTCCAGCGAAATCCATTTTTCTTAGTCAACGGCCTTGTAATGAGTCCATAACTTTTTATAAAGCAACAATAATAACCTGGCAAACCACACACATCTTTAACGTCACCGGGTTTGGGACACTTCATAACTGCTCGAACTTTATTGTAATCAATGTCATGGCTATCACGGCAGCAAGTCGAGTCGAGTCGGTAAAGAGGAGACTTGTGGACTAGTTGGCCTATTAGTCATAGACTCATAGACTAGTCCACAAATCATAATAAGTAATGAAAAACTTACCATAACATGAAATATCATTACCATAACAAAATTATATTTAAAGGTAGCACATCAACAAACATAACAAGCCGACAAAGTGTACGTTCGCCACCTATTCCGCTGAGCAAAATGTGTGTTCTACAGCTAGTGTTGGTTCGACCCTTCTAGGCAATTTTCAGCTCTTCAGACCGGAAACCGGTAAACCAGTGTCAAGCCGTCTGGTCCAGTCCTAAAGACCGTATTCTGTGTCGAACAAGCTTGAACCGGTCTGTAAAAACCGGCCGGTCGAACCAGTGAACCAGTTTTTTTTCTTTTTTTTGTTGCATAATGCTTAAAAAATCTTAACACCCATGGGATTCAAGCACATGACTCCTTGCATACCATGACTAAGTCTCAACCACCAACGCTAGAGCCTAGAGCACTCTTTTCTTCCTTTTAAGCATAAACCGGTATAATATAACAGTGTTCATGATTAAAAGAATAAATTTTCTAAAAGATTTTTTAAAAAAACTTTGAAATAATAATGTTGTAAAAGAATATAAAAGAATTATTTTCATTTATAATACAATACACTTCCTATGAATTTCTTTTCATTTTTCTAAAAAAATACTCCGTATATAGTATTGTAGCTTCGCTTCAAAGATTCAAAACTTTTAACTATTGATACAAATTCAGAGTACATGTCATGAAAATATCTTATTTAAATATGTTATGAAAATATTGGGCAACTTATTTCATAGTATGTAGTTTTTTCAAGTTAATGCAGCAAATCAAAAAAATTAATTATAAATTTATTCATACCTCATAAATTTTTTATATGCACCTTGTGGAGAGAAATGAGAATAAAATCTAGCCATTAGATCTGATGCATCGTGCGGCTCTAATTGCATTCTGCACTCAGATTTTGAGATAGTGCATTTTCGAAGGATGTTGGTGCATTTCGACGTGATGCATTTTCAAACCATTTTGGTGCATCTAATTTTGATGAAATCTTGACCCTTAGATCTCACAATCTAAAGTACTAGATTTATTCTCATTTCTCTCCTAAGATTGCATTCTCACCAGAACATATATATAAGGGTCAGACTCTATTCACAGGGTGGGAGGAAGGGTCAGACTCTAAGAAAACCCCTATTGGGTGGGAGGAAGGGTCAGACTCTTCAGAGGTTCCCTATGCAGATGACATTAGAAATTTCTTCAAGCTTTGTTGTCCAAATAAGCCAGAAAAACCTCTTCAGAAGCAATCTTCAAATAAACCTTTAACCAAAAGCCAAAAGAAAAAGTCTAAGAAGAGACTTAAGAAAAAGAAGGGTTCAGGGCTTGATATAGTAGAATCAGATTAATCAAGCTGGTCTTTTATAGTTTCTTGGGGTCATATACTACTTTTGGAATCTGTGTTATAACCGGGTTACTTTACCCATATGGTGCTTTTCTCTTCACTGATCTTAAGCCTGGATATAATTTGAGAGCTGATGAACAGCTGGTTGCCGAATTCCTCTCAGGAGATGAGGGTGAAGATCCCCCAACTAGCTCCGTTTAAATCGGCTCATAATCTGAGTTGCTGGGCTTAGCTTTTGTTATAGTTCTACTATGGCTTTTGCTTCTTGGATTGCACTGATGATAGTCTTAGGTCTGTTTTGCATACTCAAGCTTTGATGAAGAATGTAGGGTAGTTCATTTGGCTCCTATACCTTGATGTCTTAACATACTTAAGCTCGTATGGTTTTTGGGGCTTTTCTTTTTCACTTAAGGAGAACTTTTCCAAGTTATGCAGCAGCTTTTGTGGAACGGGCTCTGTTGCTGTTTTGAAGAAGGATTGAACAACATGAACTGTCGGGCAGCAGGTTGGGGGCCTCCTACGGGTCTGTCTTCTTGTGTTCACATGCTAATAATTGGAGTCTTTGAAGACCCACTTTTGGGGTTGCATTTGTATTTCAATGTTTTGTACTTTAGTTTTTGTAGACTCTATGTCGTCTCTTTCTTGGTCTGTTTTTGCTGGTGTATTCGGTTTTGAGGAGCTTTGCCTTGGACCCCTCCTCTTGTACTTGTTTGCCTTCTTATTAATAAAAAAACTATTTAATATATATATATATATATATATATATATAGATTTTGGTTCTGGTGAGAATGCAATCTTAGGAGAGAAATGAGAATGAATCTGGTGCTTTAGATTTTGAGATCTAAGGGTCAAGATTTCATCAAAATTAGATGCACTAAAATGGTTTGAAAATGCATCACGTCGAAAAGCACCATAAACCTTTGAAAATGCACTATCTCAAAATCTGAGTGCAGGATGCAATCTGAGCCGTACAATGCATCAGATCCGATGGCTAGATTTTATTCTCATTTCTCTCCACAAGGTGCATTCTTACGGGAACCGGCCCCTATATATATATATATATATATATATATATATATATATATATATATATATATATATATATATATATATATATATATATATATATATATATATATATATATATATATATATATATA